TGCTGGCTGCCAGGCGTTTTGTGTGCCACTTGGACAAGGACGAATCCAGCTATTGTCACCAGAATGTGGTGACAGGGTGGGGGTGGGACGACTGGAAAATGAGGACTATTTGTTGGACCAGCCAGTGCTTTATATATATAAGCAGCAGAATTCCTCTGGAAAGCTTCTCGGACTCGCCCCAGCTAGAAGTTGTCTCCTCCTTACACTGAAATTGTTATTTAGGGCACATCACCTACCTGCTACCTCTGATACAAGTGGCCACATCTTATTCATCCTTGTGACCTCATAGGACCTAGGCAGCCACCTGGAAATTAAGGCTGTCATCCGAGTTAACAGAACTGTTGGCCTTAGTGGGTAAAGTTGGAACTAGGATGCCCTGAGGCAAGCTCAATGTTTTGTTCCACTGCGGTGGGGCGGGGGCTGGTGTAGACATGTGTATACCTGGAATGAGACCAACCTCAAAGCGTTATCATCCGCGAGTCACCATACCCAACATTCTCATTTCACAGATGAGAAAATGAAGCCAAGAAAGGAGAGGGATGTGCCAAAGGCCACTGCTGGGCTACTTGTCCCCACTCCTCTCACGTGGCCTGAGACCAGGGACCAGGGGACTCAGAGACACACACATCTACAGGCGCCGACAGCAGGCTTCTATCTCGAGAGTGTGAAAACCACATCAGATGCACATGAGGGCGGGGTGTGTGTGGGGAGGCTGCTAGCCCTGCCGCGCGACTGAGCAGGGGATCCGTGGGAAGCTACACTAGGAGTGGAATTGCTCACTGCCCACCCCGGGCCCCGTAAACTCTGGGAAAGGAGCTCGAAGCCTGCCCCCGGCTTAGCTTCTTCTGCCCCTCGCCCATAACCCCACACTTCAGAAAGACCGGACTGCCTCCCACAAAATACCCTGGACTCCACGGGATGAAGGACCAAGACAAAAATGGCCACTCTGTCCCTTTCCATACCGAGAACTGAAGCCCCCAGGCCTCACTGGGCTTCTTTCATGACATGATGCCCGGCCGTGGCACTGCCAGTGCATCTGGGATTCCATTGGCGCAGCGACCTGCTGGGCGAGAACTTCCACAGCCTTCCTCCTTTCTTCCCCGCCACCCACCTGCTGCCTCCCTGTCTCATGGCTGCGTCAGATTCCTAAGCAACCTACCCCGGCCCCCGCCCTCCTGGCAGCGCTTGCTCTAATGTTCGGCTAATAGTTCTCTGTTTCAGGCACTGTCCAAACGCATCCTATAAATCAGAATCCAATTACTGTGGTAAGAAAATTGGAAGCAAATTTAATAAGCTCAGACCCCTCCCACATGATGTTTCTTCACTCTTCTCTTTTCAGTAATAAGAATTCCTTAAGGGAAAAAGCCTTTTTCTTTAACTCTGAGTCTGCTCTCCTGATTGCCCACAGGAGGCCCCTGAGGATGGGAGGATAAGAAGGGGTCAGGCGGACAGAGTGGTCAATTGTCTTTCTTATTCTCCCTTTTATTTGTTCAACAAACATTTATTGAATTCCTATCCCATGCCAGGCACTGTAGTAGATGCTCAATGTGTCTCTCACCCTAGAGGGTAATTGATGTCATGACTTTAGCTGCAAGGCATGATGGGAATACAAGGGTGGCCCAGGGGAGCAAAGCCTGTGTCCATGGGGTTGGGTCCCACAAAGGAACCAGGAGTCCAGTGTGGACCAATGGCCATGGGGTCAGGAGTGGTCCCAAGTAGAGGCTTCTTGGTAGAGGTGATGCCGATTCCCAGGAGGATGGCAAGACATGGATGCTGTGGATGAAGGAACTGGGAGAAGAGGGAGGAACAAGAAGGAACCAGATAGGCCAAGGTCTCCACAGGGCCTGAGTCAGAAGTCATGTCACCTGGACAGAGGGAGAAGGCTTCAGCATGTGGGCAGGTAGCTGGCCTTATTCACAGGCCTCTGCTCTCTACTCAAACCCTGAGCCTTTCGGCTGTACCAACCCACCCGTGAACTTCATCTGGTCCATAAAAACCAGCCATAGGGGTCAGCTGATACTCTGTGGTTTCCATACTTGAGCAGGCATCAGACTTGGCAAGACACAGATTGCTAGACTCCACCCTCAGAGTTTCTTATCCAGTAGTTCTGGGTGAAGCCCAAGAATTTGTATTTCTAACAAGTTCCCAAGTGATGCTGCCACGGCTGGTCTGTTGGCTTGAGGAACCAGCCTTTGAGAACCACTGTGCTAAGCCCTAGCTACTCAATGTGCGATCCCCAGACCAGTGGTGTTAATGTCACCCAGGAACTTGCTAGAAATGCAGAACCCCGGGCCCCACCCTAGACCTACTGAATCAGAGTTTAACAAGATCCTCAGGTGATTTGCTTGTTTGCCTATTGAAGCGTGAGAGGCACTTACCTAGAGCAGTGGTTCTCCATGCTGGATGCTCACAAGAATCACCGGGGGACCTTAGAACAGAAATCCTGCAGCTGGATCCTGCAGTTAGAGTCTGAGTCTCAGCATTTTCCAAAGGTTCCCAAGTGATTCTTGTAAGAAGCCTGGATTGAGAACCGCTAAGGTTCATGGCCAACACCCCACTCACTCACATTTCTCTGGCATTGAACCTGAGCTTGAAACCCACCTCTGCTCTCCCCTGTCCTCACCACCATGCCTGACAACTTAGGGAGCTTCAAACCAACGCCCCTTCCTGGTACTTGGGACACAGGTGCTTCCTCAGTTGGGGTTTGGCTGTGTCTCTTCCCCGAGCACCTGCAGCTCCCTGGTGGAGACCTCCCTGCCCACTCCAGGCCCCACCATCAGCCTCCCCACATTCCCTTAATAACAGCAACAACTGACATTTTAAAAACATTTACTATGCAGTAGGTAAATACTTTACATATATTTTATTTGATACTTATAAAAATGGAATTAGGATCATTATTGTTATTTTTATCTCTGTTTTTCAAAAGAGGAAACAGGTACAAAGAAGCTAGGCAACCTATCTGAGTTCACTCAGCTGGTCAACGGCAGACTGAGTGGATTGGAAACAGGGCAATTTGATCCCAGAGACCCTGTCCTTAACCCCCAATATGGCTGATACACTTTCCCTTTTTGTCTTCCCAAAGGATGTCTAAATTCTGTCTAAATCTCTTCCCTTCTTGCTGCAATCCCAGCAGATCTCACTTTCTTAACAGACGGAACACACTGGGTCAGGTGCAAAGCCCAGAACTTAACCTGGTGAGCTGGGCTCCTAGGGAATGGGCTCAGTTCTCCATCCGATGCAACCACATATGTCAAGTTGTAAAACTTTGGTTTGTGCCTCTAGATCATAGAACAGGGTGAGTGCAGACATTGGTCCTGCTCAGGGTATGTCCAAGTACCCGCCTGCCCAGTGAATCGCTTGTGCCTCTTTCCTGCAGGTGGGAGCAGTCACAGGTATCTCTTGGAAGGCTCTCACCCAGATGCAGCCCCCTTTCTGGCTAGGAGGTGTCCCTTTGCCCTTCTGGAGGGCCTCAGCATCTGGACTCAGAACAAGGGAGGGACCACTCACCTGAGACCCAGAGGGGCTTCTCAGACTCCTGTCTCGGCCCTCCTTCCCCCTGCTCAGGGAAATATAGCAAGCTAATATTTAAATAAAAATCTCTCAGATGCCAAGGAGAAGAATAAGTGCTAGGGAATTTACATGGGAATAATACAAGACTCTGACTTTGAGAAGCTTTCAGGCCAACAGAAGGGAGTAGGTATAGCCCCTGCCCTAGGTCTCGGGCTGAAGGGGACTGCCAGGCACTGCTGCTAAGGAACAGTATCGTGGGTATGTCGAGGGCAGAGTTTAATCCTGCAGATTGCCAGAGGTAGAGGAAGCCATAATATCATCCAGGTCATCCCCTTTGCTGTACTCAAAGGGAAACCAAGACTCCAGCTTCTTTTAGTGATGACAGTGATTAACAAGGACTGCTTGTGCTCCTCCATAGTACACATCCTGCATAAGACGAGGTTTCTGAGCCCACTAGCCTTCACATATTCTCAACTTAGGAACCTCCGGAGTAATCAGCCTCATCAGCCAGGAAAATTCTCACTGCCCTACTCATAAAACCCAGTCTCCACAATGAAGGTACCCATGGACCCAAAGGACACAGCCAAGCCTCTCAATTTAACATTGCCTTCAAACCCTCCACCCCTACCATGCCAGCCTGCTATTTGGGGCCAGTTGCACAGTTAAGTTCATGCAGCAAATAGGAAACAACCACACAGGTCTTTGGCACCTATGGGACCCCAGCGTGGAGGCCGGGAGGGGAGGAGCTGAGGTTGAGACTGACCTGCTAAGTAGGTCTCCCCAGGAAGTGTAATGACTCTAGAAAGGGAGGGTCAGGAGGCCAAATGTCTTCACAAAGCCTCTTTTTGCAGGGAAATAAAGCTTTCTACATAGCATCGGGCCTGATCTCTGCAAGCCATTGTAGGTATGGCCTGACCAACGAACGGCTGGCAGGTCAGAGGCTGTGTGAACGCGCCCCTCCACAGGCAGATAGTGGAACCAACGGCAGGTGGGGAGGCCCCTCTGGCTTTCTTCTCATGTGGCAAAATGTGCATGGCATGGCACAGGAAGGGTCTCTCCCAGGAACAGAAGAGACCACCCACCTGACTTCCCTGGGGTCTGCCCATCCTCCCCCAGGTTGTGGGACTCTGCCAGGGACAAACAGGCCTTGGCTATAGTGTTTTTAGTGCTCCATGAGCTCATGGCAAGTGTCACCTGGGGTGACCACCCGGTGAGAAGGCGGGTACAGATGACAGGGCCACCCATCCTCTCCAACCTCCCGGTGGAAGGTGGGCGTCTTTGGCATGGCTCTTGGCACTAAGCAGTAGCAGCACAGATGGGGTAAATTGCCATCTTACTGACTAGGACCTAGTCCCTTTAGTGTCCCACTGGTAGCAGATAGTTTGCTCACCCCAATTCTCAGCGTTGGGCCCCCAAATCAAGCCTGCTGCTGACCTGTCAAGACTGCAGGGCGGGGGGTGGGTATGGCGTGGAGACGCAGGAAGTACCTGGAATGGCGAGTGTCTGGGACGGCCCGATTGCTGGGGGTCCGCTCGCTCTCCCGCTGGTTGAAAGCGTACAGCTTGTAGGGGTCCTCACCAACGCGCCACTTTCTCGCATTGAGATACCGCCGCTCATCAAACTGGTCCCACAGGTCATCCCAGTCAGCATCCGAAGGCTGCGCGACAGGAACGGGAAGTCTGTGAGAATGGCTCCCCGCTCCACTGGCGCCGTCCGCCTCCCAGTACCCAATCCCAGAGACCAGGCCTGTGCTGGCAAGGCGTGGCTCAAAGACGGGGACAGAGACAGAACATTAACAAAGCCCTCTCAGCAATAATAGACAGTGACGGCTGCTTGCACTTAGTGAGCACCATGGGGCGCGATACTCCGGGCGCTGTTCCAGGACCTCGACCACATGATTTCATGTAGTTCTCAGAGCAATCCTATGAGCTGGCCACTGCACTTCCTCCCATTATGCAGATGCGAAAAGAGCCTCCATAGGTAAGTGCCTTGCCCAAGATCCCCCAGTGTAGAAGCAGCAGGGCTAGGACTTAAATTCTAGTACCCTGAGCCCAGGGGACATCTCTCCATGGCAATTTGAGAACACTTGGCCTAAACGTGCTGGCCCAGTGGCTGGCACAGAGTAGGTATGCAGTGACTGCCATCCTCTCCTCCTATGCTGGAGGAAAGGCAGCAACAGGAAAGAGATGATCCTTCTATCACGGTGTGCCACTCCCCCGACACCCTTTCTGTTCCTTTCTCCCTCCTCCCCAGGAATCTGATTATTTTTGGAAGCATCAATGGAGGAGTGAGTAATAACCCTCCCCGTACATGGAGGCAGCACTATAGAATGTGCAGGGTGGTTTCTGTATTCATGATCTCATTTCGTCCTCACCAAACCCTGTGAGATCGGTATAGAGGATGAGGTCCCAGAAAGATTACGAGCCTGCACAGGTGGAAAGTGGCAGAGCTCGCAAAGCAGAGCTCAGTCTCCTGGGCCCTCCTACACAGGAGGTGAGGGGATGCTCCCAGCCAGAGCCCAGGCTTCCCTGTCCGGGTCTTCCTCACCCACACCAGCTCTACAGCCAACAGACTGTCCACACAGCCAGCAGAAGGTGTGGGCTTCAAGGCCTTGGCAAGCTCAATGCTTATATTTGGTGGCCATTTCCCACATGTCCCCAGTATACTCCCAACCCTAGGGAAGAGCCAGTCTGTATGCAAAAGAGCCCGTGCCTTTCAAGTGCATCCAAACCATAAGATGCTCTGTCTCTAGGAAGAACATGCTGACCCAGTTCTGACCTGGAATGTGAGGGCTGGGGCTGACATCATCCCTGATGATGAGATGCTCATTCGTGTACTACTGACCCCAGTGGTTGTACAAGTGTCTTTAAGCTGCCTGGGTACCAAGCGAGCCGAGCTGAGAGCTGCCCCTCCCATCGCTGAGCAGAATGCACTTCCTGCACCAGGGGAACCTGGCCAGGATGGCCCAGGGAGGCTCAGCGGACAGCAGTGCAGGGTTGGCCCGCATGGCAGGTAGGAGGGGCTCGCCGGTCTGCACGTTCATCTCAGGCACTGCCGCGAGCTTATCCAGTAATTGATCTCCCCCTCTCTCTGTTATCTCCTTTGGAAACAGCATTCTCTTGCTAATAACACAAAATGAAGCTTTGGAGACCAGAGATTTTTATCCAATAATTGATTTTATTAATGTCCTGTGATACTGCTGCTACAGAACATGCTAGGGGGAATTTGAGTGGGGGTGTGAAACCCCCAGCTTGTGCTGTGCAACGTCACTTCCTGATAGCTGTCACCTCTGGTTGGAACATCACCCCACGGCAACCTTGAAATCCCATCTTCGTGGGAAGGGCCATGGAACTGTTTCCCACTAGCTTGTTTTCAATTTAATTCATTGTAGTTTTCTCAGTAGGTTGTGAGCCTGCCCCATACTCTGAGCTAGGGAGGAGAGCTGTGGAGAGGGAGGGCCCCTGCCCTTGAGGGGGCTGCAATGTCACAGAGAGACACGTGTGGAGACACCTGTAACACTCTGCAAGGTGAGTTCAATTACATAAGCTCAATGACAATACTAGTGCACAGAGCAGTGATGGGAGCTGGGAACAGTTTCTTGGATAAGGTGTCAAATGAGTTAGATCTTGAAGGATGAGTTGGGATCTTAACTTTGCTTGAGGGAAGATAGAGATGGGAAATAGGTGTGTAGTGAAAAGCTAGACTGAAGGCAGAATATTAGTCAGGGAGGGTTCTCTAGAGAAACAGAACCAATGTAACGTGTGTGTGTGTGTACAGGCATGTGCCTCATAACATTTTGTCAGTGATGGACTGTATAAATGACAGTGGTCCCCTAAGATTACAAAACTGTGTTTTTACTGTACCTTTTCTATGTTTAGATATGTTTAGATGCACAAATACTTACCATTGTGTTGCAACTGCCTGCAGTATTCAGCTCAGTAACCTGCTGTACAGGTGTGTCGCCTGGGAGCAAGAGGCCACACCATATAGCCTGGGGGTGTGGTAGGCTAGACCATGTAGGTTTGTGTAAGTGCACTCTAAGATGTTCCCGCAAGGACAAAATCGCCTAACTTTTCTATATAAACTTTTATATGTATAGCTTATAAAAGTATATAAAAGTTTATATGGAAAGAGATTTATTCTAAGGAACTGGCTCACACGATTATGGGAGCTGCCAAGTCCCAAGATCTGTGCTGGTCCCAACGGAGACCCAGAAAGGGTGACACTTCTGTTTGAGTCTGAAGGCAGAAGAAAAACAACGTCCCCACTCAAAGGCAGTCAGGCAGGAGGAGTTCCCTCTCAGCTTTTTTGTTCTAGTCAGGCCTTCCATGAGTTGGATGGGGCCCCTCACACTGCAGAGGGCACTCTGCTTTACTCAGTCTACTAATTCAAGTATTATCCTCGTCCAGAAACACCCTCACAGGCAAAACAAAAAATCACATCTGACCAAATGTCTGGGCACCCTGTGGCCCAGTCAAGGTGACACATCAAATTAACCACCACAGGTAGGAAGGCCCGGAGGAAGAAAATCTGTGCAGGGAACGGCTGGCTCAGGAGTGCGACGCTGAGATGCGGATTGCTAAGAGGGCACAAGGGCAAGAAAACTCTAGAACACAGCTGAGTCTGTATGAAGATCATGGGGAAAACACCTCTAGCCATGCATGTAGGATGGAGTGGAGGGAAGAGAACTACCACAGGAGGCCAATTGGGAAGGGACCTGAGTAATCTAACCTGATGGGAAGGGACTCCCAAACTGGGGCCCTGCTGGGAGCCAAGTGGAGGGTGGGCACCCATGATGACACACAGGGGCTGGGAGAGGGGATGGCACCAACCTCTTGGCCCCATGCCAACCCCCTACTCTCTATTCACACCAAACAGAGGCTCAGGGCCAAGAGGCCATGAGGCTGGCAGTTTGCTCAGCCTGGCTATCGCCACCCTACAGGGGCAGCTAGGCACCCCTAGCGCCTTTGGAAGGCACCGCTTTCTTGGCAACTCGGACCCCCAGAGAGCCAGAGCAACAGCCTGGCTGGCAAGAGAAATGCTAAGAAACCCCCACCAAGGGTGTCCTTGGAGGGGACCATGCCCCTCAGACTGTCACGTGTGTGGAGCTCGTTCAGTTTGCTGCACGAGACCCACTGAAGGGAACAGCCCATACCGGGAGCTCGGCTTTTCTACAGTGATATCTGAATGTCTTAAGGAATGCTGAAGGTGAGTTTAAAATAACACTAACACTTGAATAGCACTTTATACTTTACAGAGCAGCTTGCACATGTATTGTCACGGAATCCTCACACGACCCCACTCTTTGCGGGAGGGACAGCTTAGAGAGGTCAGGTGGCTTGCCCAAGGTCGCCAGCTGTTAAGTGATGGGAATGCTGACTTAATCCTCCCAAAGAATCCCCCAATGCCACAGACAGAAATGAGTGTCACCTCAGCTGAGGGTCAGCGGGCAGAGGAAGACCTCCCTTGAGGACCCATAGAGAGCCCGTGGCCGGGGGAACGGAGCACAATAGGAACGGCCAGCCGCTTGTCCCTGCTGTCCCAAGAACAGAGCTTGCTGTGGGCCTCCTGGGGCTTCTGAGGGGGCCCTGGCTTTGCCGGGCACTGCCAGTCATATTGCGAGTTGGCGTCCAAGCTCTTCAATCCATGAGTCCCCGTATCCAGCTTCCCAGAGTCCAGAGTGCCTGGGAGGACACAGTGTGGGGTGTCCTGGCCACCCAACCGCAGCACACTGGCGTCCTCCCTGACTCTGCGTGGGGCCGTTCCAGTACCTTGTACCCGTGTTGTGGATTCCCTGCTTCCTGGCTCATGTGAACATCCAGGAAAGCTTCGGACACACACTTTCCCCTTCACGCGCCTGCCTAATACAGCAACTGCTACTCCCCCCAGAAACAAAAAAACTCAGGAGCGCCCAAAAGGTGCCACCCGAGAACTGCGCCCACTCCTGTGGGGCCCTCACAGCACCCGTGGCCCCCCAGCCAGCCTCCACTTCACTTTCTGACCAGAATTTATTCAGTCTGGAGGGAATGTGTTTCAAACAGTAAGTATGATGCCACAAATAGAACACAAAGACATTATCTTATTTTTAAGTTACATTTTTAATGAAAAAATAATGTCTATATTTATGGGGTAAATGTGATGTTTTGTTACACGTGTACATTGTGGAATGACGAAATCAGGCTAATTAATATATCCATCCCCCCAGATATTTATCATTTCTTTGTGGTGACTACATTCAAAATTCTTTTTCAGTGATTTTGAAATATACGCTATATTATTATTAACTATAGTTATTTTTCTTGTCTAACTGAAACTCTGTACCCCTTGGCCAATATCCCCCCATCTGCCCCCACCCCAGCCTCTGGTAACCACCATTCTACTTGCTACTTCTTTGAGTTCGACTATTTCAGATTCCACATAAACATGAGATCATTATTCGGTCGTAAAGAAGCAGGAAATTCCGTCATTTACGACAGCGTGGGTGAACCTAGAGGACATTATGCTAAGCGACATAAGCCACACACAGAAAGACTAAGACATAATCTTTTAAACAGAAGCTGTCTCGTTAAGGCTGTCAAACCCCTGGCCAAGTCTATTGCTTAAATAATCTGGCAGCAAAAACTAAGGCTCAATAGCACATCCGTTGAGTTGCTTAAT